GATCTTGGACGGGATCGTAGTCGGGGCAGGGAGCCTCTCCTGTTACTTGCCCAAATGCGGCCATGCTTCTATTTGTAGCATGCCAGCTGGGTCAGAGCAAGCCCGGGTATGTCTCCTTGAACTAGAATTTACACCTAGGCCTACGCTCCATTGGTGTCACCTGCAATTTCCTCTGCTCCCTCCAGTGCTCACCTTGCACCACCTGAGACTCCATCCAGATCCACTGAAACACCCTTAGATTAGAGTTGAGTAACCGTCTTGTTACATGCAGCAGGTTTAAGCATTAGACACACTCTGGGCTAGTGGTTCTGCTGCAAGCAGACTATCCAGGCACACCGGCAGTGAGGGTCCCCCACTAACAGCTGAAATCCCTGAGAGCTGTGTTAAGAATGGGGGGCCTGAAGACATATTGGTGAGCAGGACCCCACAGAGAGGTGTGACAATTGACTGTCAAGGGCCCAAGCAGCGGAGAGTGTAAGGTGCCTCCATACCTTTTCTCCCCCCCATCCACCCAGCCTGGGAGGTAAACTCTGTGGTGGAACTTCTGAACTCTGGGGCTGCACGGACCAAGGACAGCAACTGTGAGCTGGGTGACTTTTGGGTTGCTGGACTTCAGACCCTGAGGGGAAAAGGACACTGCCCAACTTACCTGGGGGTGGGTCTTTTGCTCATGGTTTGTGTAATGAATCCTGTTTGTGATGTTTCCCCAATACAAAGTCGATCTTTAGAAAATGATTTTGTACAGTGGATCGTGTATGTCCCCACTAAGCGCAGTAGCGTGGCTAGCATCGTCTCATGGAGTGGTGCACTGTGGGTAGCTATCCCACAGTCCCCAATGCCTGATTGGGCAAAAACATTGTCACGGGTGGTTTTTGGTACATGTCATCAGTCTCTCCTCCCTTCCTCCCTCCCTCCCTCCTTGAAAGCAATGACAAACAATCATTTTGCGTCTTTTTTCCTGTGTTACCTGTGCAGACACCATAGCACACCAAACATGTAGCCCGCTCAGTTCAGTGCTGCTGTTGTGAGCATTGTAAACCCCTCTTGCATTATCCTGCATTATGTGCAGAACCTGGCCAGGAGCTGTCAGCACGAGGACGATTGTGAGGAGGACACGGACACAGACGTTCCTGAAAGCACGGGATGTGATAATTGGGATATCATGGTGGCAGTGGGGCAGGTTGATACAGTGGAACTCCAATTCTGGGCCCGGCAAACAAGCACAGACTGGTGGGACCGCATAGTGTTGCAGGTCTGGGGTGATTCCAAGTGGCTGCGAAACTTTTCCATGCATAAGGCCACTTCCATGGAACTTTGTGAGTTGTTTTCCCCTGCCCTGAAGCACAGGAATACCAAGATGAGACCTGCCCTGACAGTGGAGAAGCGAGTGGCGATAGCCCTGTGGTGCCTGAGAGGTGTTTCCGCAGCAGTTTGTAACTTTAAAATGGCGGATCTCAAGCCCCGGAGGGCAGGGCCAGATTTACACCTTATGCGGCCCTAGGCACAGCATCTTCAGGGCACACATACCCCCCCGCCCACAGCTGACCTCCATGTTGTACATAGTATTAGAGAGGTAAAGTGCCCCTAGAACGCCCGGTGCCCCTAGACATGTGCCTACTATGCCTCTTTGGAAATCCGGCCCTGCTGGAGGGTAGACCCCAGTGGTATGTCTACACAGCATACTAAGCCGGAGCTCTGACTCAGGCTTAAGACCAAGCCCCACTTCTATCCACACAGAAGTTAGTTTGACTCAGGCCTGCACAGCCTGCTAGGGGATGGGGTCAGAGTCGAAGCCCCACTGAGATGCAAGTCAGAGCCCAAACGCTTGGTAGTGTGGATGCAGCTCAGATCCATGTCACCAGACTTGGGTGTGGAGAATCTGCCAACGCTCTCTTACAATCCCCAGGGACTGCGCTTCCCGGCCCTTCAATTCCAAAACTTGCCAATTGCTTCCCAGGAACCTTATGTACCATGGGGATACTGATAATGGCCTCCTTTGTAAAGGACATTGAGACCTTCTGAGGAAATGAGCTACAGAAGAGGTAGATAGTCTTGGGGTGCAGGTGTGACTGGTTGGATCACAGAAACCGCCTTGGGAGCTGCCACCTGATGTGCAAAGACTACCTCTGCTCCTGTTTTCCCTGCCTGCTCAGGACTCCAGTACCCTGTCTTGCTGAGCCAGACACTCCCGTCTGCTCCAACACAGACCCAGGGTCTGAATCACTTGTCCCAAAGCTACAAGTTTACCTGAAAACAGCTCACAGAAGTGTGCTTGTCTTTAGCACTCAGATGCCCAACTCCCAATGGGGTTTAAACCCAAATGAATCCATTTTACCCTGTATAAAGCTTATGCAGGGCAAACTCATAAATTGTTCACCCTCTATAACACTGATAGAGAGATCTGCAGGGTTGTTTGCTCCCCCAAGTATTAATACATACTCTGAGTTAATTACTAAATAAAAAGTGATTTTATGAAAAACAGAAAGTAGGATTTAAGTGGTTCCAAGTGGTAACAGACAGAACAAAGTAAGTCACCAAGGAAAATAAAATAAAATGAGCAAATCTATGTCTAATCAAACTAAATACAGATAAGTTCCTCACCAGTTCCAGAATGTTCTCTTTTACAGGCTAATCTCCTTTTAGCCTGGGTCCAGCAATCACTCGCACCCCCTGTAGTTACTGTCTTTTGTTGCAGTTCCCTTCAAGTATCCTGATGGGGTGGAGAGGCTCCTTCCTTAGCCAGCTGAAGACAAAAATGGAGGAGTCTCCCACAGGTTTAAATAGACTCTCTCTTGTGGGTGGAGACCCCCCATCCTCCCTCCTATGCAAAGTCCAGTTCCAAGATGGAGTTCTGGAGTCACCTGGGCAAGTCACATGTCCCTGCATGAGTCAGTCTTTACAGGCCGAAGCCATTGTCCACATGGTAGCTTGTATGTCTCCAGGAAGACTTTTTATGTGGATTGGAGCATTCCAAGATGCGTTGTTCCCCAAGTGTTTCCTGATCAGGTACTTAACCTGGCGAATTGCTTCCTAAAGAAACTGACCAAATGCCTCACAAAGCTTACTTAGAAACCAAGCCAGCATACAGCCCATATTCTTACCCTCAAGTAGAAAATGATACATGTGTACAAAGAGGATGAATAGATATAGTAGACCAGAACCTTTACGGAGATCTGTTACATGGCACAGGCAGCACAAAACATATTCCAGTTATGCCATACATACACTTATAAGCACACCCCCCCATATAAAGCCTTATGGGGTACACTGTCACAGCAGGTCCAACACAGGCGGGTCTGGCCCCTCTCCTCAACAAGGGGTCAGAAGCTGCTCTGGAGGTGAAAAGCTCTTGGTATCTCCTCAACCACTAGGCCTTGTAATGTCCTAGGGATGATGCCCCTCTGGGTTCCTGACCAGGACGTCGGTTATTCCTTCCCCTGAGACTCCACCCTTAAGATTGGAGACTGGCCACTTCCCAGGGCTTTGGGAGATGAGTCAGAGCTGCGGGACACCAGTGTGGTGCTGAGGTGGGCCAGCTACTGCTCTCATTTACCCGGGTGCAGGGCAGGAGTAACTCTCCTGAATTCAATGGGGTTACGCCTGATTTTTCTGTGGAATATTCCAGCTGCTGGGGGTGGTTCTAACAGGGTTCCCACGCCCAGGAAAGACACAGCCTGCTCCCTTCCCCACCTCAAGGAACAGAAATCAGCTGTTTGTAATGTACCAGCAGCTTCCTCCCCCATGCGAAGGCTGCAGTGTCTGGAGCTGGGCGGGAGCAGGGAGGTGTTTCTGACATGCAAGGCTCCGCTTCCCCTCCACGTTCTTCATTGCTGTGTAAGTGGGGTTGGACTGAGCTCCCCTCTGACATGGAGTGATGAGCTGGGGGAACAAATTCAGCAACAGACTGTGTTTCCGGAAGCACCTACTGTGCCTAGGGACTTCGTGGAGGGAACTGCTTTGCCAAAGGGATCCCTTTTGCCTGGTGTTGGGTTACACATCACTTTAGTGGGGAGTGCAGGGGAATGGCATGTTGTCACCCTGACTGTGTGAGGACAGGGCAGCAGAACTGTGCTTAGCCTGCCCTGATTGACACTCACTCGCTAAGCGGGGGGGTGGGGATGCCAAATCCCCATGACAGTGAGAGAGAAAGAGGGTGGGGGCAGATGTCTGTATTCAGGGGTGTGGGCTCGCCCTAAAGAGTCCTAGACGCCATTTCACCCTCTCCCTCGCCACTGTGTAAAGGCAGAGCTGATCAGACACACTGGAGAGTCCTTGTTTTGTTAAGTGATTGCGAGAGCTGAAATCACTGAGAACCAGGTCTAGACACTGAGCCTTAGGGCACGTCTACACTTAACACGCTGCATTGGCACAACTGCGCCCTGTGCCTCTGTGGTGGTTTAATGGAGACGCTATAATCTGACGGGAGAGAGCTTCTCCCATTGGTGTAGTTAATCCACCTCCCCAAGAGGCGGTAGCTGTGTCGATGGGAGAAGCTCTCCTGCCAACACAGCGCTGTCTACACATGGGGTCGGGTTGGTATAACTATGTCCAACAGGGTGTGGGTGTGTGTGGATTTACTGAGGGATGTAGTTATACCGATAGAGGTCTGTAGGTCAGACCAGCTCTCAGTTGTATACATGGTGGTGGCAGCAGCGACCGAGGCATTTCTTGATGCCATTTCCCCACCTCCCACCCCACTGGCAAGAGTTGAATTCACATGAATGCTCTGAACTCTGGGCCTTCGCCGACCAAGGACAGCAACTGTGAGTGGGGTGCAGGGGAAGGAAAGGGCAAAGGCAAGTTAACTGAGAATTTGTTAAACTTTCACACCACAAGGGGAGAAACTGAGGCAAAGGACACTGCCCAATATATTCTGGGGTAGGAGTTTGCTCATGGATACGGCTATGATTATATCATGAAGGTCACGAATATGAGGCCTTTCCCCTCCAATTAGGTCTATCCCTCAATAATCCCCACCCTAGAACTGATCAGGGGGCGGGGAGCTCCGTAGCCTGATGGGGGAGGAAGGCTACGGGACCACCCCCTGGATGCTTGCGCTGGGCCCTACCTGGCGAGGCCCTGCTGCCCGGGCCCAGATGCTCCCCGAGGGGCTCGGCCGCATTGCTTATCTTCTTGATGCTGTGGAAGGCGGCAGCGTGGGGCGTGGTGGCATGAATGGGGAAGGCCGTCTCCACCACCAAGTGTCACTAGCTCCCCTGTGGCTGGTGGCGGGGGACTCTCTGCAGTTGCCCAGCCACAGTGGGAAGAGGGGGGATCCCCCTGGAGCTCTCTGGTACTGTGGAGGGTGAGGGGACCCTGCGGCAGCCCAGCCCCTGGTGGGCAGTGGGGGACCCTAGAATTCCCACTTGCTGCAGGTGATGGGGAACTGGATCTCCCTGCTGCCGCAGGGGGTGGGATCCCCCACAACTGCTCAGCTGCCGTGAGGAGCAGGGGACTTCGAAGTGGGGCAGCAGTGGTGGGGGACCCCGGAGCTCCAGCAGCTGTGGGCACTGAGCTGAACCTGCCTCCCCTTTTTGTCAGTATATTTTTAGTGAAAGTCAGGACAGGTCACAGGCTTCCGTGAATTGTTGTTTATTGCCCACGACTGGCCGTGATTTTTATTAAAAATATCTTTGCCTTACTCATGGTCACAAGCTTTCAAATTGTGGTTGTGGGGATTCCCAGATTACTGCCAGATTTCTTTCCCCTTTTTACACAGACTCAGTGCTTGTGAGAGGGGATGTATTGCCTCTTAGAGGCACCTGGGGTGGTCTGAAATTTTCCCAGATTACTGGGTGGGGGTGTGACGGGTTCGGTCACAGAGATCCCCTTGGGACTGTCACCTGATGTGCTGACATTACCTTTGAGCATGTTTTCCCTGCCTGCTTGGGACTCCAGAACCCTGCCTCGTTGAGCCAGACACGCTAGCCTGCTGCAACACAGACCCAGGGTCTGGACCATTCCCCCAGAGCTGCAGACTTTGTCTCTCTGGGTCCTCCATCCCTCCTTCTAAATGGAAAATACATGATTTAAGATGGATTTTGTTATCAGGTGACATGGGCACAAGTCACTGTAAGATCCCCAGTCTCCATTCCCCATGGGCTGGCCCACGCGTACACAGGGAGGCTTTCAAGTAACTAAGGCCATTCACAACTTAATGGCCTCCACTTACTATGTTTTTCATCAGTGATAGAAGTTTATATCTTATTCTCCTAAGTCCAGATATAGAAATAATACATGCAAACAAATAGGATGAACACACTTAGCCGATGATAAGCTTTCTAAAGACACCATGCAAGGGGTATTTAGCGTGAAGTATATTCCAGTTATGTCATATTCATAAGCATATTTCCATAAAGCATATGGAGTGCAACGTCACAGGGGCTCCAGATGGTTTGGTTTTGTATTGGAAACCCCTACGTATTGAACTCGGCCCTGGTTGCTGCCAACTCCACCTGGCAAGAAAAGCAGAAAAATGACAATAGATTCCAAGGCCACTGAGAGTGTAATGTGCAAACTGGTGGGTTGTCTCTGGGAGGCGACACACAAAGCCCCTGGATCCCTGATCCTTAGGGATAATGGAGCCAAGGGAAATTCTTCACGGCTCTGACTGCACATTGGGATGATCCGTCTGCACTGACAAGGATTCAATCCCAGGGGACAATCTGATCTATTCAGATAATTACACTGCAAGAGCCAATGCCTGCCTAGCCCACAGTGAGTGACCCCTGGAGCTCCCAGGAGAGCCAAGGGAAGGGAACGCGGAGGTGCCAGGAAAGGGGAAAGCACCTTTACAGCAGTGATGAGACCCAGCTAGAGATGATTGTGTCACAGGCTGGTATTGGAACAGACCAGAGGACCTCTTACCGTCTTGGTGCTGGTGGTGGGGACAGCAGACATGGATAGATCGGATGTCTCAGACTTTGTACTGAACATTCTGAATCTCTTGATCCATCTCCTGTACTCCTCTCTCACCTGGAGAGTGAGAGACACGGTCACTGCACCATGTGAAGGTGCAGTGAAGGTGCTGTGTGGGCGCTGATGGGCCGTGGGCATTACCTGGCGATTGAGGAGACAGTGCACCAGGAAGATGAAGGCTCCCTGCAGGCTGTTGACGATGGTGAATAAATACGCCATGACCGTGGCTGCTGCGCCGACTTGGAGGAGACCAAGGCTCCATGGGCAGCCCAGAATGAAGAGCTGGGCGATGGCTTTAAAGGTCAGTAACCTGGATAAAGGCAGATGGAGAGATCCCGTTACAATAACCCTATGGAGAGCAATTGGGTCAAGAGGATCTGGACAGAGTGGGGTGGAGCTACTGACCCTGCTTTCCTGTGTGGGACAGGGTTACTGTCAATGCAAACACACTGGGAATTCGTTCCTATGGATCCTAGATATGCTGTTCCCCTCCTGCAATCCCTCACACCCTCCAGTGCCAAGCACCTTTCAAACCAAGACATCTGACCCTCCAGGACTGTTTTGTTGCCATCTCACCTGTGGTCTCTGAGGGTGGACACATCTGCATTGAGGGAGGAGAGACTGTTTCTCAGGATCCTCAGGGTCAGGGTAAAGCACGTTATATTTATCTGTGGGAACAGTGGGAAATATTTCCCGTAAAACATCCCATCCGGGGCCAGTGACTCCAGCTGAGGCAGAGAACGATCCCAGGGGACCGATCCGAACACTGCAGAACCAGGGACTGCTCATTTCTGGTGGGAATCATCCCCTCTCCTGTAATATCCCCTGGCAGCTCTCGGTCCCTCCCCATGCGTGGAGCTGACAGCACAGCCAGGGCTGAGATGGATCAATGGGATCACAGAGGTCAGATGCTGCTCAGGGTTAAATATGGAGCCTCTCCAGTGCAGTCAGGAGTTATTTTGGGTTTACACTGGTGTAACTGAGAGTAGGATCTGGCTCAGAGATTCCAGATTCTGTCTCCAGAATACTTCCTGCCACTTCCAGGCTGTAAGAAATCTCCCCCCTCCCCGCCACCGAAACTTCCCCAGGTGGTAGGGAGGAATATGTAGGGACATTTGTTTCCCCCCCTACAAAAACCACTGCAGAGTCCAACCCTCTCCCTTCCTCGTTCCTTGGGTCAGTAACTAGACTAGACCAAACTCTTCTGTCTTCACTTGGCAAAACTCCTACTGACATCCATGGGAGCTGTGCCCGAGTAAAGGCTGTAGGCCTGGGGATACAGCACAGGGACTAATCCCGGGACTGACCACAGCAGATGAGCCAGGTGGGACCTAACTGGGTCTTTCCTCGTGTTTTATGGGCCACGTTCTCCTCCCTGCTTCACTGAAATCAATGGGGTGGCAGAGGTGAGAGGAGAATGGGGCCCTGTGGTTCTGGGAGGTACCCACCAGGATTATGGCACAGACTGGACCCAGGAAGCTCCAACGAAAGCCTCTGTCCAGGCTGAGCCAGCAGCTAGTGGGAGGGAGGAAGAAGAAGGTGACGTTAATGGGATTACTGCCCTTTTTCAGCCCCGGGGCAGAGAGGGGGTGTCACAGGGCAGCTGGCTCTCAAAAGCGAGATGGATCTCAGCCTGCCTGTGACATGGCCGACTCTCTTGTGGGCAGCAGATAAACAGCCCTCCCCATGTACCTCAGCATCTCCTGCTTTCAGCCCCCACTTCCTCTTCCACCTCCTCAAATGACCCTTTCTGGTGGATGGGCGCAGTATTGCTGGAGGGCCAGACATGCAGCGGATGGACATTGGCCTCGCTGCACTGAAGGAAGTGGATCTGCCCTGATTTACACCAGCTGAGGATCTGGCCTGGGGTGTCTAGAACACGCAACGCTCTGTTTTAGTGAGTCGCTCACTTTAGAGGGGGGATGCTCAGGGATCTGCACACAGGAAGAAGGTGCATTTGTTTCCTACCCACCAGCCCCACAAACCCAGCCTGGGAGCTGGGAGTCCAGCTGGGATCTTTCTGGCTTGTTCTTCCACATCATCAGTGGGGTGAGGAGTGTAGATGTCTGACAGGTGGGCAACTCAACTGCAGTGCTCAGGGCAGCTTAGTGTCCCTGGGGATGGGAAGGGTCCCAGGGGGACATTCAGCTCCCAGGCAGGGTGAGCAGGGAAAATCGAGGTCCAAGTCAGACCTGGGGTGAGCTGGACAAGCGCATGGGAGTCACATCCCAGCTCCCCTTCGGGATGGGCGCTGCACATACTGTGTGGAAGTTCCGTAGCCGTCAGGATTCACTGCTGCAGAAATAGCCACCACCAGGGCTGGGAATCCGTAGCCGAACGGGTACATGAATCTCTTCTTGAACCGGCTGGCGCTGGTGTAATTCACGACCTTCAGGTTCCTGACGGTGAGGAAGAGGTGCAGCCCCTCCAGGAACATCCAGGAGAAGCAGGCCAGGAAGAGGTAGTGTAGGAGCCCAGCAATGACAGCACACGCCACCTGGGGGAGACAGAGAGCCCAGGGACACTGCGGTGGGGAAGGGAAATGCTGAGTATGGGGGAGACCTGCCGGGGGGTCACACTGGGATTCTTGTTAGCACAGCTCTCCAGTTATAGCGCTCCGTGACCCAGAGACGGCAGGTTCCTCGGTCTATGGAGGGTCCTGCAGGTGCACATTGCTGATGCAGGAAGGGAGCAGAGATTAGTGGTTAGATCAGGGGAGAAGGGCTCAGGGGATCCAGTTTCTGTTCACAGCCCTGCCACAGAGTCCCTGGGTGACCATGGGCAAGTCACGTAGGAGAGGAATCGAGGCACAGGGAGCCTGTGACATAGAGAGAGAACTGGCTGAACTCCAGGGGTTGGGGACACTCAGAGCACTGTGCCCAATGTGAAGGGGCCTAACGGGGAGTGGAAACATCCCCCCGGAAATCCCCCCTGTGCCCTGCACAGCCCAGAATCCAGGGAGCACAAAGGGGTTCAAAGCCACACACCCCAGCGCTGCTGCGAGTGGAGGAACAGAGCAGGGGAGAATCAGGACGTACCTGACTGCTGGGGTGGGTCACGGTAGCGAGGAAGAGCAGGTCAGCCAGAAAGAGGCAGAGGCAGAGCTGCAGGTGGAGGGAGGTGCTGACGTTGCGGATGGAGCGGCACAGGAGGAAGGTGAGGATGGCGAGGAAGAGGCACAGCAGGGAGAGGGTCAGTCCCACGTAGGTGATGATGTTGAAACTGAGAGTCGCTTCCTGGGGACAGGAAAGGAAAAGCCCTGGGAGTGAGAAGTCCAGGGGTTTAGGTGCCACGTCCCGTGTGTTCCCAGGGGGCATCAGGCATCACAGCCTCTCCCAGTTCAGGGGGCTGCAGTGCACTCAGAGGGGGAGCCCTTTACAAAGGGGTCCACTGAGGCTGACTCAGGGCCCCACTGGGACCTGAAGCCAACTGGAGCTAGAACCCTTTGTCCTTCCTTCTTCACTCCCGCTCCCCCATCCCTCCATTACAGAAGCCAGGGAACAACATTGTCACAAGCCCACGGCTTCCTAGGCTATCTCTATGCTGCATCCGGCAGCTGCTCAGAAATGTCTGGCAGGGCAGGGATAGAGCCCAGATCCTGCTGCCTGAAAAACTCACGTCACTGACAGATGAGTTGAAGGAGAATCCCCATTAACGGTTAGCAGTATACAGGGGCGGCTCCAGTGTCTGCGTGCAAATGCCCCCTACTGGTGTGAGTGCACATTTGTGTTCGTCCACCCACATGCGCCCTCTAGTGTTCAGAACTGTTGTTGTTCATCAGAGGTGCTATACTGCCAGGGGCGGCTCTATGTATTTTGCTTGACTACCGCCCTCATGGCAACCAGCACGCCGCCCCCCGTGGCTTGTCGCCCCAGGCACGCGCTGGCTGCGCTGGTGCCTGGAGCCGCCCCTGGTTATTAAATACAGACAGTAGGATTTAAGTGGTTCCAAATAGTAACAGACAGCACAAAGTAAGTCACCAAGCAAAATAAAATAAAATGCGCAAATCTGTGCCTAATCAAACTGAATACAGATCATCTCACCCTCGGAGATGCTTCAGTAAATTTTTTCTCAGACTGGAAACCTTCCAGGCCTGGCACAATTCTTTCCCCTGGTACAGCTCTTGTTCCAGATCAGGTGGTAGCTAGGGGATTCTTCATGATGGCTTCTCTCTCCCCTCTGTTCTCTTCCACCCCTTTATATATCTTTTGCATAAGGCGGGAACCCTTTGTCCCTCTGGGTTTCCACACCCCCCCTCACAGGAAAAGCACCAGGTTAAAGATGGATTCCAGTTCAGGTGACATGATCACATGTCACTGCAAGACTTCATTGCCCACTTGCCAGCACACACATATACAGGAAGAACTAACAGGTAAACACAGCCATCTGCAGACAATGGTCCTTGTTAACGGGAGTCATCAAGATTCCAAACCATCATTAATGGCCCACACTTTACACAATTACAATAGGCCCTCAGAGTTATATTTTACATTTCTAGTTTTAGATACAAGAGCGGTACATTTATACAAATCGGATGATCATACTCAGTAGATTATAAGCTTTGTAATGATACCTTACAAGAGACCTTTTGCATGAAGCATATCCCAGTTACATTATATTCACTTATTATCAAGTTTTTATAAAACCATATAGACTGCACAACGTCGCAGAGGCTAAGACTTTTCAGCTTGGAAAAGAGGAGACTAAGGGGGGATATGATAGAGGTATATAAAATCATGAGTGGTGTGGAGAAAGTGAAACATGCCAGCATACACAGGAGCACATACACCACACACCCACTCTGATTGCATCTCCCAGTGCAGCTCTCCCTCGACTCTCAGAGCATTGGCTGGACTTAACCCTAGCTCCAGATTTGGGTTTACCCCATAAGAACACAAGAACATAAGAATGGCCATACTGGGTCAGACCAAAGGTCCATCCAGCCCAGTATCCTGTCTACCGACAGTGGCCAATGCCAGGTGCCCCAGAGGGAGTGAACCTAACAGGTAATGATCACGTGATCTCTCTCCTGACATCCATCTCCACCCCCTGACAAACAGAGGCTAGGGACACCATTCCTTACCCATCCTGGCTAATAGCCATTAATGGACTTAACTACCATGAATTTCAGGCAGCTTCACCCGGTTCGCCTACTGGCGATTCATTCACCGCGCCCGGCTGAATTGCGTCCCGCTCAACGGTGCCATCCGCCACGGGAACCGGGACAAACGCTGCAGGAAGTGCGGGTACGTCAATGAAACCCTGCCCCAAGTCCTATGCTGCTGCAAGCCCCACACCAGAGCCTGGCAGCTACGCCACAACGCCGTCCAGGACCGTCTAGTGAAGGCCATCAACCCGCGTCTGGGAGAGATCACTGTCAACCGCACCGTCCCCTGCACCGACAGCCCGCTGCGCCCAGACATCGTCGTCACGGACGAGGTGGGAAAAAAGATCATCCTGGTCGACGTAGCGATTCCGTTCGAGAACAGGACCCCGGCTTTCCGCGAAGCCCGAGCCCGCAAGCTCGAAAAATACGCCCCCCTGGCTGACACCCTGCGGACAAAGGGCTACGAGGTGCACGTCGACACTCTGCTCGTTGGGGCCCTGGGTGCCTGGGACCCGTGTAACGAATGCGTGCTGAGGACCTGTGGGGTGGGCCGTCATTATGCACGGCTCATGAGACGCCTAATGGTCTCGGACACTATCCGTTGGTCTCGGGACATCTACATCGAGCACATCACCGGCCACCGCCAATACCGAGAGTGAGCTGGGGAGACCTCGTGCACCCCCACACACCCCCTGCTGGACTTTATCCCCTGACCCCTGAACCCACCAAACCTGGCTGAATCCCGCCACGTGAGGGTCACCCCATCCCCATTACCCAACCCGCTTACTTATACCCATGACTGTCTCTACCTCCCATATGGGTGATAGACCCTCACCGCTTATCGACTGTCTCCTGATCCCGCCCACCGGTTACCCCCCCCTCATTGGGGATATTGCAGTCTGTATATACTATGTGTGCTGCCCAGCCCCAAAACACCAACATACCCCTATACTCTGTATGTTACCCCCAATGACCAATAACTAACGCTTCAAATTTTCTGTATCGTTTATTTTTTCTAAATATTCTCTAATAAAATTTAAGTCTGTTCTTATCA